GTAGTGAAGGGCAGGCTATAAATCCAATCTCTTCTTCTTCTAAATGTCAGATGCTTGAGAGCCAGAAGGTGACTTTGGAAGAAGAGGCAGGTTTAGGGTAGTGGCCTGAAAGTGACATCACAGGAAGGGGGACAGGATGTGATGTCACAGGAAGGGATGGAGCTTAGGAAGTGATGTCACCTGATCTTTGACCTGGAAGTGACATCATAGGACAAGAAATCACAAAGTGATGTCACATCCTTGGAAGGCACCCCCCCCCCAAAGTCTCCTGGCTCCACCCCCAAAGTCCCCAGGTGGTAAAAACAGAAAAACAAAAGTGGCAAAAACAGACATTGCTGGGATATATTGCAAAACTTTGTGAAATGGCAGAGGTACCTCAGCCAGCATGGGCAAGACACCGCTATCCCCACAGCCCCCTTCATTATACTGGTGGCAAGAGGCCCATGAGGAGCCTCTCGCTGCGCTCTGCTGAAAGGTCCCCATGGAGGGGGGGAAGGCAACCGTGTACCCTGGCTGGGGCCCTCCCTCCCCCCTCCCCCTGGAAGAGGGCATCCCCCGCAACACCCCCCCCCATGGTGCTTGCTGTAAGAGGCCCATGGAGAGCCAGTTTGGTGTAGTGGTTAAGTGTGCGGACTGTAATCTGGGAGAACCGGGTTTGGTTCCCCACTCCTCCACTCGCACCTGGCTGGATGACCTTGGGCAAGCCCTAGTTCTGACAAGAGCTGTTCTTTCAAGGGCAGCTCTCTCAGAGCTCTCTCAGCCCCACCAACCTCACAGGGTGTCTGTTGTGGGGAGGGGAAGGGAAAGGGGAATGTAAGCCGCTCTGAGACTCCTTTGGGTAGTGAAAGGCAGGGTATAAATCCAATCTCTGCTGCTGCTGCTTTTAATTTGATTTAGTTTAATTTGATTACATTCCTGGCTACAGGGCTGGTTCCCAAGCTTATGTGTCCAGATCTCTTATAATTCAATCATTATCATGCAAGGTTCTCCTTAGGTGGTAACCCTAGATAGACTGTCCCATATAATCTCGACTGCTTCCCCATTATGTTGGAAGTTATGCAGAGAGAGAGGAACATTTTATTATAACTGGTGGGGGTGTAGATACATAGGGGTATTTTGGCAATAGGTTATGATGCAAATTAGGCTAACAACTGGTTACATATTACCATTTGACCCCTCTTTGATATTATTGAATCTTTGGCAAGGTAAGAAGCCCACTGCTAGCAGACAAGAATTCATAACAATGCTCCTAATTGCAGCAAAGGCAGTAAGGTAAAGGTTTCCCTTACTTGAAAGCCAGTCGAATCCGACTCTAGGGGGCGGTGCTCATCTTCGTTTCAAAGCCAAAGAGCCAGCGCTGTCCGAAGACGTTTCCGTGGTCATGTGGCAGGCATGACTAGACGCCGAGGCGCACGGAACGCTGTTACCTTCCCACCGAAGCGGTACCTATTTATCTACTTGCAATGTCTTGCTTTTGAACTGCTAGGTTGGCAGGAGCTGGGGCCAGAGACGGGAGCTCACTCCGTCATGCGGCACACTCGGGTCTCAAACTGCCGAACTGCCGACCTTCCAGTCTGCAGCTCAGCGTCTTCACCTCTGAGCTCTTAAATGGAAAGATAGTAAATCACCACCCCCGACGGTGGACCAATGGCTTCTTAAAGTATAGGATTATTTTATACTAGAAAAAAAAATTCCGTTTGCACATCCAGAGCTCATGATGACAGAGAGATAGCCAACCTGATGGAGGTCCATCAGTGACTATTAGCCACAAGGTATAGATAGGGGCTCTGGGGCAAATGATGCTCTGTATTCTTGGTGCTTGGGGGGGAGGGTCAACAGTGGGAGGGCTTCTAATGTCCTGGCCCCACTGGTGGACCTCCTGGTGGTACCTGGTATTTCTGGCCACTGTGTGACAGAGTGTTGGACTGGATGGGCCTTTGGCCTGATCCAACATTGGCATCTCTTATGTTCTTATGCTTCCATTCCTGGAAAGGATGGCCGGAGATCAAGTGGACTGTGAACATTTATCTCTCCATCTAAATACAAAGCTTTTCTTTTTTTTGTTATTGAAACTCCCGTCCGGTCAAGACTGCGTAGACCTTTGAATATACTGTTTTTTAAAACTCTTAAATACTCGCCGTCCTTTTCTATTCAACTTTTACTCACTTGTATTGAATAAAGACCTCGTGTCTCTGGTTCTATATACGTAACAGGATTGGTGTTTGTTATGTATTGTGTTAATTGTATTGTGTATTGTGTTGTGCATTGTTTTAATACTTGCAGTTAAGTTGCCGGAGCTTCAGTCATAGCTCCATAGAGGCCTGGTATCCTAAAATGCACGTTCTGACAATCTTCTTTGCACAGTAGGCTAATCAGAGCTTAGGGATGGTTTTGGGGGGATCAACAACCATTGGTCGTTATCCACAAGTTATGACTGGTGTTTAACATCCTAGGGGGCATGGTTGTATAGGCCCAAACAGCAGAGGTCATTTCCTGCAGGAGCGCACAGGAGTGGAGCTCCGGCAGTAAAGAGCCCAGGGGGCGGGCACATACAACAAGCCCCTCCCCCTGCTCCCAGCAGCCCTCAGTCAGAGCAAGAAGCAGCCAGGTAAGCTGCAGACCCCCCCCCCAGGCCCCCTGGTCCAAAACAGTCCAGTGGCCCCTTTAAGACCAAGTTTTATTCAGGTACAAGCTCTCCCTCCTCTGCGAGGACAGATCTGCACGTCCCCCCCCCCCAATAGCTAGCAATCCAAAACAGTCCAGTGGAGCTTGAGCGGTGGGTGTTGCCTTCTGACACACTTCCGGTGATGTCAGGGGGTGTGGCATATGCAAATGAGTTACGCTAATGAGCTCCTGCACCTCTTTTTCTACGAAATGATCCCTGCCAAAGAGTACAAATTGAGCTAGCTTCTGTGGTGGTGGTGTTGTTGATTGTTCTGGTTAATAAAGCTGAATCACTTGTTTAAGATCTTCCTGAAGGCTGAAATTTTATAGTGTTAGAAATTTACTGGCAACTTTTGCAATCTTCAAAGCATTTAATAAAGTTAAAAAAAAAAATAACCGGTCATCTGCAGAGTCTTCTTTGTTCCATATATCATGTGAAAAGGGGTATGACAAACTTGTTTCTTCTTATCTACGGTTCAAAACCTTTAAAGGGTTCGATAACAGGAACTTCAGTTCTTCTACGTGGAGAGTTCAACAAGTTAGGGAGCGTCTTCTTAGAGAGGAAAACATTTCACACCTCATTCGTGAACCCTAATCAAAGGAACATTGAGTCCTGCCGACACAGTAGCCAGGGTGAAGACCATGTATCAGAATTTTTTCCCAAAGCAGAAAAAGCGTGCTCCAAAGATTTTTTTCAAGGATTTTTCAAAGCAGGATACAAGACCATATTTTGCAAATTAATAGCTGAAATTTAAACATAAAGACTGCTCGGGCATAGCACCCTTCTTTATTACAAACAACAGGGAGGGTATGTTTGCACGGTGGAAGTGAAAGCAGGGAGGAGACATTCCAGTCTAGGAGCCAATCATTTAAGATCCTTTACTCGTTACATTTCCAATAATTGTGCTGTTGTTGTTTAGTCGCACAGTCAAGTCCGACTCTTCGCGACCCCGTGGACCAGATCACGCCAGGCCCTCCTGTCTTCCGCCGTCCTCTAAGTTTGCTCAACTTCATGTTCGTTGCATCTATGACACTGTCTCACCATCTCATCCTTTGCCGCCCCCGTCTTCTTTGACCTTCAATCTTTCCCAGCATCAGGGTCTTCTCCAGTGAGGGCTCCCTTCTCATTTGGTGGCCAAAGAATTTGAGCTTCAGTTTCATCATCTGGCCTTCCAGGGAACAGTCAGGGTTGATTTCTTTTAGGATGGACTGATTTGATCTTCTTGCAGTCCAAGGGACTCTCAAGAGTCTTCTACAGCACCATAGTTCAAAAGAATCTATTCTTCGGCGCTCGGCTTTCCTTATAGTCCAACTCTCGCAGCCATACATGACTACTGGGAATACCATTGCTTTGACCATGCGGACTTTTGTTGGCAGGGTGATGTCTCTACTTTTTATCATGCTGTTTAGGTTCGCCATCGCTTTCCTCCCAAGGAGCAGGCATCTTTTAATTTCATGGCTGCTGTCACAGTCTGTGGTGATCTGGGATCCCAGGAACGTGAAGTCTATCACTACTTCCATGACTTCCCCTTCTATTTGCCAAGGAGTGATGGGGCCGGATGCCATGATCTTAGTTTTTTTGATGTTGAGCTTCAAGCCCACTTTTGCACTCTCCTCTTTTACCCTGAGCCAGAGGCTCTTAAGATCCTCTTCACTTTCTGCCATTAGAGTGGTATCGTCTGCATATCTGAGGTTGTTGATCTTTTCCCCAGCAATCTTAATTCCGGCTTGTGATTCCTCCAGGCCAGCATTTCGCATGATGTACTCTGCATATATATTAAATAAGCAAGGTGACAATATACATCCTTATCGCACTCCTTTTCCTATGCTAAACCAATCAGTTGTTCCATATCCGGTTCTAACTGTTGCTTCTTGACCCTTATACAGATTTCTCAAGAGACATGTGAGGTGGTCTGGCACTCCCATCTCTTTAAGGACCTGCCATAGCTTGTTGTGATCCACACAGTCAAAGGCTTTAGCATAGTCAATGAAGCAGAAGTAGATGTTTTCCTGGTACTCTCTTGCTTTCTCCATAATCCAGCGGATGTTGGCAATTTGATCTCTAGTTCCTCTACCTCTTCGAAACCCAGCTTGTACTTCTGGCATTGTGTAATCTTCATTATACTTCCCTAGGCGTGGTGTACCAGCCTGTGAACTTTACTCCCCTCTCTTATAACAGCAACGTCAGCAAAGGGTGGGGGAGACTGCTGTTCCCTAGATGAAATGAATCCACTCCCTTTCAAGAGAGCACATCCCACAGACGTCCGATCCCACTCCAGCAGAAACTGGAAGTCTGAGCTTGGATTCCCCTAGCAAACAACACTGTCTTCTGCCTTTGACAGGTGTCCGACATGCTGTTTCAGAGGCTCTCGGCAGTCTGGGAGGCCGTTCCTCTGCCGGCATTGCTGTCCTTCCTGTTGCTGCTTCTGATCATTGTTGACTACAGGAAAAGGAGACGGCCAAAGGGTTTTCCTCCTGGGCCTCGGTCTCTTCCTTTCCTGGGCCACATGCTCTACATGAATTCCAAGGAGCCTCACATCGCTATGCAAAAGGTAAGGATGAGGGGAAGAACCTCTCGGAGCCTTGGGAGGACCCTGCCTCACCAAGCCCGGCCCTGGTGTCGTCTCCACTCCCACAGGAGCCCCGGCGTTCTCAGAGGGAATATTGTAAACCAGCATACCTTGAAGACTATGTCTGTTAAGGTGCTTTGGAACTTAGGGGGGAGGGGTGTTATGTATTGGGACTGAAACATTCCAGGTCGGTCCCACCAGAGACTGGCAGAGCTTGGAGCACAGGAACAATAGCCTGCCAGGACTCTAGAAGTAACCAGTCAAGGAGTAATCTTATGTAAATAGCCTATCGTTGGGATTGAGGTGTGTTTGGGTGTGGCAACTGCATGCTATTTAACCAAAGCTGAGGCTCTGGGGTCTGGTCTTGCTGACATCACAAATGAAGTCGAGCTGATCGCTAGCTCCGAGCCTGTTCATCCATGGAACCCATTGTTTAACATTCAGCAAACAGCATTCAGAATGCGCATCTCATTGGGCTCAAGCTCGCAAAAGCTCACGCTACGAGGAATATGTGTCAGCAAGCTGCCAATTTCTCTTCTCTGTTGTATTCACTTGGTGTATTCTCTGGTATGCGCTTAATTGCTTTCGTTTTCATGCAGCCCTATGTGATGCACTTCTTCGCTAGCCGCGGTAACACGTATATCTCTCAAGGCCACAGGTGGTAGCTCCTTGGGTGGTCTCATGGCATGGCCGTGGGAAGCAGATATGTTTTGCTTATTAGTACCGTTTGCTCCCAGGCCGATGGCGCGCGGGGGAACTCCCGCAATTGGGCCTTTGCTTTTTGAATGCACTATAACCTGTCATCATGGGAATAGATGCTCATTCCTAACAATGATCCTGTACACGTTTCTATAGCTTCAAATAAAGTACCCTTTTCTTGCCAGAGTGAACTTGTTTGATGCTGTGGGACCTAACAATATGTCAGTTTGGATGTCCCACCAGGGCCGGCTCAAGGTGTTTCTGCGCCCTAGGCGAGGCTGCCTTATGGCGCAGATGCCGACCTCCCAGTGGGGCCTGGAGACCTCTGGAGCCAGCCACCCTTTTGCTGCCGCCACCACTGCCTCCTCCCCCCTGCCGCCACCACCACCAAAGGGGGGGAGGGGGAGGCACAGCTTGGCGCCCCATCCAGGGCCCAGCGCTCTAGGCAAATGCCTAGTTCGCCTAGTGGGTGAGCCGGCCCTGTGTCCCACTGGGATTTAGTTTCATTTTAATGGTCTCTGGACACTCCAGTTAGACTTATGGAACAAAAGCAAGATGAATCGCTCTTTACTGCTTCCCATGTGCCCAAAGCTGGGAATAAGGTAGTTAGACACTACCGGGGGGGGGGGGGGGATATTTCCTTTTGTCTGTCTGAAAGAATTGCTAGTAACTCAGTTAAGAAACTTGAATTGGTGCATTCGTAGGCTTTGGTGTCATGGTCTTTTTTTTCAGACTGTGAATTTCAGACCCCGGTTCCCGCCATTCAGGGACAGGAGCAATAGGCAGAAACATTAATATGGGATTTCCACCCTCTTTTACCTTCTTTTTTTCTTTCCCCTCCAGCTTGCGGAAAAATATGGCAAAATCTTCGGCATGCAGTTTGGAGACATGTGGTTTGTGGTTGTCAACGGTCTGCCTCTGGTGAAGGAAGCTCTCGTTCATCAAGGGGAAAACTTTGCGGATCGTCCAGTGTTTCCGATGAACACTGAGATTTTCGGGACATTCGGTGAGCTTCATTTATTGTGTCGCTTACATTTCTCAGACCTGAGATAAATATAATGTGAAAAACCCTTACACTGTTTCAGAACATGAGACCGTCATGAGCGTCCACTGAGGTCAGCTTTGCACTGGTATTGACTGAGAGTCAAAGTGGAGAAGAGGAGGAGGAGAAGGAAGATCAAGATTGGGTAGCTGCCTTAGTCTGACTGTAGCTGTTGAAAACAGCAAGAGTCCAATAGCACCTGAAAGACTCACAATATCTCTAGCAGGGCAGGAGATGTTGTGAGTCACTGAGGAGCAACTTGACTCTTGCTCTTTTTCTACGGCATGAAGACGAATTGGCTCGATCCACCAACACTTCCTTTAACCACCTCCGCAGGCAGTGCAGTTGGAAGTTGGCAAACATAACCGTAGAGGGGAAAACAGGACTGTTTTTTTCTTTAAGGTAAAGGTAAAGGTTTCCCTGGCTCGAAAGCCGGTCAAATCCGACTCTAGGGGGCAGTGCTCATCTCCGTTTCCAAGCTGATGAGCCAGCGCTGTCCAAAGCCATTTCTGTGGTCATGTGGCCGGCATGACTAAATGCTGAGGTTCACAGAATGCTGTTACCTTCCCACTGCAACAGTACCAACAATAAAACTTTCTTCAAATACATTAGAAGCAGGAAACCAGCCAGGGAGGCAGTGGGGCCCTTGGATGACCAAGGGGTAAAAGGAGTACTGAAGGATGATAGGGAAATGGCTAAGAAGCTAAATGCATTTTTTGCCTCTGTCTTCACTGTGGAAGATGAGAAGTGCTTGCCCACTCCAGAACCGCTGATTTCGGGAGGGGTGTTGAAAGACCTGAGTCAGATTGAGGTGATGAGAGAGGAGGTCCTAAAACTGATAGACAACTTAAAAACTGATAAATCACCAGGCCCGTATGGCATACATCCGAGAGTTCTGAAAGAACTCAGATGTGAACTTGTGAATCTCCTGACAAAAATATGTAATCTTTCATTAAAATCTGCCTACATTCCTGAGGACTTGAAGGTAGCTAATGTCACTCCCATCTTTAAAAACGGTTCCAGAGGAGATCCGGGAAATTACAGGCCAGTCAGTCTGACATTGATACTGGGTAAATCGGTGGAAACCATTATTAAGGAAAGAATTAGTAGGCACATAGATGAACAAAACCTATTGAGGCAGACTCAACATGGGTTCTGTAAGGGAAGATCTTGTCTCACTAACCTGTTAATGTTCTTTGAGGGGGTGAACAAACATGTGGACAAGGGGGATCCAATAGATATTGTTTACCTTGACTTCCAGAAAGCTTTTGATAAAGTTCCTCATCAAAGGCTCCTAAGTAAGCTCAAAAATCATGGGATAAAAGGACAAGTCCTTTTATGGATCAAAAACTGGCTAATTAATAGAAAACAGAGAGTGAGTATAAATGGGCAGTTCTCTCAGTGGAGGGGGGTAAGCAGTGGGGTACCGCAGGGATCAGTACTTGGTCCACTGCTTTTTAACTTGTTCATTAATGATTTGGAGTTGGGAGTAAGCAGTGAAGTGGCTAAATTTGCGGATGATACAAAGTTGTTCAGGGTGGTGAAAACCAGTGAGGATTGTGAGGCACTCCAAAGGGATCTGTCAAAGATGGGCAAGTGGGCGTCAACATGGCAAATGGGGTTCAATGTGGCCAAGTGCAAGGTGATGCACATTGGAGCCAAAAATCCTAAATATAAATACACATTGATGGGGTCTGAACTGGCAGAGACTGAGCAAGAGAGAGATCTTGGAGTTGTAGTGGATAACTCACTGAAAATGTCGAGACAGTGTGTGACTGCAATAAAGAAGGCCAATGCTATGCTGGGGATTATTAGGAAGGGTATTGAAAACAGATCAGCCAATATAATAATGCCCCTATATAAATCAATGGTGAGACCTCATTTGGAATACTGTGTGCAGTTCTGGGCACCACACCTTAAAAAGGATATTATAGCTTTGGAAAAAGTGCAGAAAAGGGCAACTCGAATGATAAAAGGGTTGGAACACTTTCCCTATGAGGAAAGGTTAAAGCGCTTAGGGCTCTTTAGCTTGGAGAAAAGACGACTGAGGGGTGACATGATCGAGGTTTATAAGATTATGCATGGGAAAGAGCAGGTAAAGAAAGAGGTACTTTTCTCCCTTTCTCACAATACAAGAACCCGTGGGCACTCCATGAAATTGCTGAGCGGTCGGGTTCAGCGGGAGGGCTTCTGGTGTCCTGGCCCCACTGGTGGACCTCCTGATGGCACCTGGTATTTCTGGCCACTGTGTGACACAGAGTGTTGGACTGGATGGGCCGTTGGCCTGATCCAACATTGGCTTCTCTTATGTTCTTATGTGCTTATGTTCTTACCTATTTATCTACTTGCAATTTTTTGCTTTCGAACTGCTAGGTTGGCAGGAGCCGGGGCCAGAGATGGGAGCTCACTCTGTCACGCGGTGCTCGGGTCTCAAACTGCTGAGCATCTTAACCACTGAGCCACTGGGGCTCCCGGTTTTTCTGTACTTTTTGATTTTTTTAAAAAAAAGAATACCATCTTCATCCTTTCCACGCAGGACTGATCAATTCCAACGGGTACAGCTGGAAACAACAGAGACGGTTCGCTTTATCGACTCTGAGAAATTTCGGCCTGGGGAAGAGAAGTTTGGAGGAACGAATACAAGCAGAGACGAGATACCTCACGGAGGCCATTGAAGAGGAAAAGGGTAAGCGCCAGGCCCAAACACCAGCCGTGTGGGGGGCTATTCAGTGAACAAAGGCAGGCAAGCCGAAGGTTACCCAGGGAACTTCCCATCGTGGGATGTACAAATTCCCCTGACAGGGAGTGAAAGGGCCTAGTGGTGCTGGAAGGGAGGTCTAGGTGAAGCCCTCAGGGAAGAAACAAAGGTTGCCAGTTTGGTGTAGTGGTTTGGTGTAGCCAGTTTGGTGTAGTGGTTAAGTGCGCGGACTCTAATCTGGGAGAACCGGGTTTGATTCCCCACTCCTCCACTTGCACCTGCTGGATGACCTTGGGCAAGCCATAGTTCTGTCAGAGCTGTTCTTGAAAAAAAGACCAGTTTCTGCCAGAGCTCTCTCAGCCCCACCTACCTCACAGGGTGTCTGTTGTGGGGAGGGGAAGGGAAAGGAGACTGTAAGCCACTCTGAGACACCTTTGCGTAGTGAAGGGCGGGGTATAAATCCAATCTCCTCCTCCTCCTCCTCTTCTTCTTCTTCTCCTTCTTCTCATACAACGGCATCAGAACCAAAGCTGTGAGGTGAGTGGGGCATTTCATGTGAGACCTTCTGCTAAAGCAGAACTCTCTCTCTGTATCCTGGACCCTCCAGATTTCAGTAATCCCTGCGTAAATCAGAACGAAAAAGATCCCCATTTGAAAACACAACGACGTTGAAAATACTGATATGGCGGGTGTCTTATTGTCAGAGGCTGATAAGAAGGGAGGTCAGTCAGGCCTTGCTGAGGCCTCTGTGGCCCAGCCACTGCTGAGGGCGTGTCACCTCAGCATGGGACGACTTGCACCTCCGGGACTTCTGTGGTGGGGTCCAGACACGAGGAGGAGGAGGAGGAGATTGGATTTATACCCCATGCCCTTCACTACCCGAAGGTGTCTCAGAGCGGCTTACAAACTCCTTTCCCTTCCTCTCCCCTCAACAGACACCCTGTGAGGCAGGTGGGGCTGAGAGAGCTCTTGACAGAAACGGCTCTTTTTCAAGGACAGCTCTGACAGAACTACGGCTTGCCCAAGGTCATCCAGCCAGGTGCAAGTGGAGGAGGAGTGGGGAATCAAACCCGGTTCTCCCAGATTAGAGTCCGTGCACTTAACCACTACACCAAACTGGCTCAGCAGGGTGGGGGTGATTCTGGGACTTCTGGGGCAGGTTCTAGGCACAAGAAGGAGGAGGAGGAGGAAGAGGAGGAGGAGGAGGAGGAGATTGGATTTATACCCCATGCCCTTCACTACCCGAAGGTGTCTCAGAGCGGCTTACAAACTCCTTTCCCTTCCTCTCCCCTCCACAAAACTGGCTCTTTCTAAGGGGGCACTGGCTAATCAAATTAAAAGTAATTTAATTCAGTTTCAGGGGGAACTAGAGAGGTGCTGTCTGGCTCCACATGGCCACCGTAGCTGGTCCTTCATGCCCGACAGCTGTGCAGGAATGTTCTCCCAGATTAGAGTCCGTGCACTTAACCACTATACCGAACTGGCTCTTACAGCATTAAAACAGATAAAATACAACCAGCGCGATAAAATTATTACCGTACACTAATAAAGCAACCACTCCAGATGATTCCATTCCACATCCAGGATTTCTTTGTTTTTCTTCTCCCTTTTCTTTCTGCCTTCTTCCCTCCTGGGCTTCCCGTCATTCCTTTTTTTTTCATCCCCCTTCTGCAATTCTTTTGCAAAGCGCGTGATAGCCAGTGCTCCCTGAAAGCTGAGTTAGTGTGAGCTAGCTCAGAGTTTTTTAGCCTCCGGCTCACACATTTTTGCCTCAGCTCGGGAAGGGATGGCTCCAGAGCAAACTAATTTACACAGTGGCCAGATCGCCTGCTCACAACTTTAGTGCCAGCAGCTCACAAAGTAGCATTTTTGCTCACGAGACCCCCACAGCTTAGAGGGAGTGTTAGTGACGGCCGTTTGGGCTTGGCCCCGCCTCCCGGGGCGGTCGTTTTGGGGTGCCGCTTGCCACCGCTCCCTCTCAAAATCCCAAAGGTGCCCACAGGCGGCACCCTCCTGGGGTAGCCTGAAGAATGGTGCCCTTTCCATTATTGCCCCGGGCAAGTTCAGAGTTAGGTGCCGGCTGCAGAACTTGGCACCCTGAGAACTGATGTACTTAAAATGAGCAAAAGCAAGTTGCCATCCCTCAGGGCTGCAAAAGCAGGCTCGAGTGGGCGAACACTTTCTGGGAGGGCTTCGGAGGATTCTCTGGCACTGAGAAGCTCCGGCCCACATACCTTCGGGGCCGCCTCTCTCAATATATCTTTGAAAGAGCAGTATGCTCTAGTAATAAGAAACTCCTGGTGGTCCTTAGCCCGAGAGAGATCTTCATAAGAACATAAGAGAGAAGACAATGTTACACGACACCAAACTGGCTCTCAGAGTGGCACTCTGTTTTAAACGACTAAGTTCAAGGTTCTGTTTTTGACCTATAAGGCCATGAGCAGTCAGGGACCGATGTATCTACAGGACCATCTCCTCTGTTATGTCCCCAGGAGAGCTTTGCACTCCTTAGACAGCAATCTACCAGTGATCCCTGGCCCTAAAGACACCTGGCTCTCCTCCGCCAGGGGCAGGGCCTTTTCAGTCCTGGCCCCGACCTGGTGGGACTCTCTGCCAAATTCTATCAGGGCCCTGTGGGACCTTCTGCAATTCCGCAGGGCCTGCAAGGCAGAGATGTTCCGCCAGGCGTTTGGTTGAGGACAGCGACGGTTCCATCTTGGCCGCCACCCTTCCAATTTCCTGTTGTCTGCATCTATTTTGCCCTCCCCACCCACCCCCCGTCCACGAAGTAGCTGGCGGTGGGAGTTGGAAGGAGGACTGGTTATTCGCCATCTGTTTGTTTTTAATATTGTACTAAGGTTTTAATTAATTTTATCTCGTTTTATCTCTGGTTGTACATCGCCCAGAGCCCCGCAGTAGCAGGGGCGGGGCGAGTACTAGTAGTAGAAGTAGTGGTGGTGGTGGTGGTAGTAGTAGTAGTAGAAATAGTACCCTGTTTTCCCGAAAATAAAAACAACCCCCAAAATAAGTCCTAGCAGGATTTCTATGCATTTGTGGTATAAGCCCTAGTGTGTCTTCTTGAGAAAAAATAAATATAAGACAGTGTCTTATTTTCGGGGAAACACGATAGTAGAAGTAGCGGTGGTGGTAGTAGTAGTAGACGTAGAAGTAGTAGTAGTAGAAGAAGTAGAAGTAGTAGTAGTAGAAGAAGTAGAAGTAGTAGTGGTAGTAGTAGAAGTAGTAGTGGTAGTAGTAGAAGAAGTAGTAGTGGTAGTAGTAGTGGTAGTAGAAGTAGTAGTGGTGGTAGTGGTGGTGGTGGTAGTAGTAGTAGTAGTGGTGGTAGTAGTGGTGGTAGTAGAAGTAGTAGTGGTAGTAGTAAAATAATAATGTAAACAGTTACTGATTTTTTAATTCTTGTGAGAAGTTACCTCTCACCGTTTCCTCCACATTCTGCTTTTCTTGTACGGAAGCTAAAACGGCCTCTTTCCCCCCCACAGGCCAACCGTTTGACCCTCATTTTCAGATAAATAACGCTGTTTCGAATATCATCTGCTCCATCACTTTTGGGGATCGCTACGATTACCATGACAGCCGGTTCCAGAAGCTGTTGCGTTTGTTCGATGAGGCCATCTACCTTATGGGAAGCATCTGGAGTCAGGTGAGTCTTCGTGGAGATCTGGCAGGAACGCCAGGACAGAACCTTTCTGGATCCAGAAAGACGCCCAGGGGGGACTTGATCCCAAATCACCACCTCACTTTGTTCCTTGTTGCTCCCGTTCTCTTGTGTTTTTCATGACTTCCCCCGCTCAGACACCCTAATCATATCCCACAATGCTTTTCTTTTCATTTAGTATTCTTTTGTTCCATCATGTGGGAAATCAAAGTGACTTTACTTCATTTTCCTGACAGACAGTAGGGGAACTCTCCATGAACTTCACCGCAACTGAATGGCGCGTACACACTCACCTATATATTTATGTGGTATAAAGTTTAGAGAGAAGGAGGAGGAGGAGGAGATTGGATTTATAGCCTGCCCTTCACTACCCGAAGGAGTCTCAGAGCGGCTGACAACCTCCTTTCCCTTCCCCTCCCCACAACAGACACCCTGGGAGGTCGGTGGGGCTGAGAGAGCTCTGACAGAAACTGCTCCTGAGAGAACAGCTCTGAAAGAACTTGTAACTGATCCAAGGTCACACCAGCAGCTGCATGTGGAGGAGTGGGGGAATCAAACCCAGTTCTCCTAGATTAGAGTCTGCACTCCTAACTACTACACCGACCAAACTGGATCCCCAGTGCCAGATTATGATCTGGGAGACCCAGGTTTGAGTCTCCACTGTGCCACAGAAACTTGCTGGGTGGCCTTGGGCCAGTCACACTCTCGGCCTAGCCTACCTCACAGGGTTGTTATGAGGATAAAATTGAGGAGAGGAGAAGAATGGAAACTGTTTCGGGGAAATGATGTACAATTAAAATGTGTGTCTGAGTTTGTGTCTGTGTAATGTGTGTATATATGTATGTGTATGTGCGCGTGTGTGAGATTAAAACTGGCTACAGGGACGTCAGGAGTGCCGAGTGTTAACGCATGTTCTGCACATTAACCAAATTCATACAGAACTGCTGAGGAGCTGGAGGAAGTTTTGAGCAGCTTCCTGGGACTGAGTACCACAGAGCCACAGAGGAATTTCAGACAGATGATATAATCCGGAAGAAGAACGGTTCACAAACGTTTTCTGGTCTGTCATTTCAGACAGAACCGTTTTAGAACCGGTTCCCTACCGGAATATATTTGTAATTTCAGACACAAACGCTTCTGTCACTGAACTCACTGAAAATGTCGAGACAGTGTGTGACTGCAATAAAGAAGGCCAATGCTATGCTGGGGATTATTAGGAAGGGTATTGAAAACAGATCAGCCAATATAATAATGCCCCTATATAAATCAATGGTGAGACCTCATTTGGAATACTGTGTGCAGTTCTGGTCACCACACCTTAAAAAGGATATTATAGCTTTGGAAAAAGTGCAGAAAAGGGCAACTCGAATGATAAAAGGGTTGGAACACTTTCCCTATGAGGAAAGGTTAAAGCGCTTAGGGCTCTTTAGCTTGGAGAAAAGACGACTGAGGGGTGACATGATCGAGGTTTATAAGATTATGCATGGGAAAGAGCAGGTAAAGAAAGAGGTACTTTTCTCCCTTTCTCACAATACAAGAACTCGTGGGCACTCCATGAAACTGCAGAGCGGTCGGGTTAGAACGGATAAAAGGAAGTACTTCTTCACCCAAAGAGTGATTAACACATGGAATTCACTGCCACAGGAAGTGGTGGGTGCTACAAGCATGGACGGCTTCAAAAGGGAATTAGATAAGCATATGGAGCAGAGGTCCATCAGTGGCTATTAGCCACAAGGTATAGCTAGGGGCTCTGGGGCAAGTGATGCTCTGTCTTCTTGGTGCTTGGGGGGGGGTCAACAGTGGGAGGGCTTCTAATGTCCTGGCCCCACTGCTGGACCTCCTGATGGCACTGGTATTTCTGGCCACTGTGTGACACAGAGTGTTGGACTGGATGGGCCTTTGGCCTGATCCAACATTGGCGTCTCTTATGTTCTTATGTTCTGTCCCGTTTAGGAAACGGGGCTGAAGTGTTTTACCTGTCAACCGCTTCCAAGTAGTCTTCAGTTTCCTCTCCTGGTTCCGATGCGCTTTTTCCCGCCATTTTTTGCCTGTGCAGGCAATCTCCAGCTTTTTTGGGCGGGAACGTTTGCTTTATAGGGTTATAGCGCTATAGCGCTCTAAAGCGAACGTTCAAAAAAAAAAAGCTGGAGATTGTTCGCACGGGTGAAAAACGGCGGGGGAAAGTGGTAAAGTCTGAAATGGCAAACCGCTTCAGATCCAGCTCTTTGCTGGAAGGGGAAAGCCATGAGTGAAATGGCAGCCCTGTACCACTTTACTCCAAGACGGATCAAAAACAGCTTCAAAACGGGTTAAAAAGGGTAATGTGAAATTCCTCACACTGTCCCACATCACAGCACCATTTCCTATTATTCCTGAGACAGCCAGGCGAGGTATGCAGCTGTCTCTATTGAATGGTCTGCAAGAAGTTCTACGTGCTTTCCACGCAGACTGATGTTATTTTGTTGGGGTTTTTTTTCTATAGGTATTTTATTGTTATTATTATTATCGTTCTGATTATACATTTTCATATTCCATTATACTTTTACAGTTTTCCCCTCTCCTCCCCCCCTCCCTCCAGTCTGTTGTTTTTAGTCCTTTTCTCTCAGCCAGGGGCATAGTGTCTGGAGCTTCCACTGAACGTCGTTCCTTTGTTCTTCTTCCATCCATCTCCAGTATATGGTCCATTTCTCTTGAATTGTCGCTGTTCTTTCTTCCCACGGCTTGTCTTGGTTGATTACAGAGATTATCTCTGCCTGAATAATTTCAAACACATAGTTAAGCCAGTTTCTCTCTGTCCATTTACTTACATCTTTCCATCCTGCCGCTATAACCGCTTTACCTGCTAGAACCATTGCTTTCAATAATTCTTGGTGCTTTCTCTCTATTGTCTCCACTCCTATTGTACTTATCAGCATTAATTCGAAATCTATGTTTATGTTTACTGCAAATAATCTATTCATTTCCCCTACTATATTTCTCCAAAAATTTTTAACTTCTGGGCATTCCCACCACATATGTGAATACCACCCTTTTACGTTTTTACAGTGCCAACAGTTAGGGCTTAGTCCTGGAAACATATTTGCCAACGTTGCTGGGGTTTTATACCATTTGGTAAAAAATTTTAATTCAAGTTCTTTAAACATATAATTTAATTTTTTTAATTCCATTCATAAGTTTTATAGCTTTTTGCTCTGTTATTTGTGTTTCTGTCTCCCATTTTCTTTGTAACTGTATAATTATTTGTTTCTTATCTGAAATCATTTTCTTATATATTGCCCCTACCAACCCTCTCTTATTTTGTTTCATTCTTTTGTATATCTCTTCTAATGGTTCCTCTGTACTTATATTCCCATCCTCCATTAGCTTCTTGACTTTCTTGTATAAACCAGCTGTTTTCAACCAATATCTTACTCCTATCTTCCCCTCCAATGCTTGGAGTGACTTCAGAGGTCCTCCATTACACATATCTTTTATTCTTCTCAATCCTTTTTCTCTAAGCAGTTCCCACCATCTATGATCTGTACTATCTTTTTCTAAAGTCTCTAATGGTGCCCATCTAGATATGCCTTTTAACCACTTTGGTCGCCATTCCTTCCAAATTCTCAATGTATTTCTCCTAGGCCCCATCTCTAATTTATCTTCTCTTTCCCCTTTATTTGTAAATATCCCATATTTCCCTATTCCTTTGCTTGCTTCATTTTCAAATTTGACCCATTTCTGATTCTCATCTCCCTCTATTTCTAAAAGTGTTTTCAGCTGAAACGCTTCATAATAACTTACTATGTCTGGTACACCCCACCCTAGTTCTGAACTATGACTATAGGTTATTTTTTTTGAGCTTCTGGTCTTTGTACTACCAAATATCCATTCCCTTATTGTTGCATTCCATTTCTCCAGTTTTTGTTTGGTAACCTCTAATGGTAATACTTGAAATAAATATGTTAATTTAGGTATCCAGAACATTTGTTATTTTGTTGCTGTTGACATTTGTTTCTCCAGCTGTACAGTACCTTCCCAGCCGTAATGAAGTACGTGCCTGGACCTCATCAGACAGTTTTTAAAAACTGGGGACAAATTAAATCCTTTGTCAAAGAAAAAATCGAAGAGCACAAAGCCGGCTGGAGCCCGTCCGAAACAAGGGACTTCATTGACGCTTATCTGAATGAAATGGCCAAGGTAACCAACCAATCAAAGTACAGTCAGCTTCTGTTTTTGATTCCCTCACATGAGCTCCCCCTAAGCGCTCTGCCTGAGTATGTCTTCAGTAGGCTTTGGAATACTGATCATTGGCTGGGTTTTTTTATTGAATGCCATGTCCATTATTCTTAAGACTATTGTCTTGCCAGTTTGGTGTAGTGGTTAAGTGCGCGGACTCTAATCTGGGAGAACCGGGTTTGATTCCCCACTCCTCCACATGCAGCTGCTATTGTGACCTTGGGTCAGTCACAAGTTATTTAAGAGCTGTTCTCTCAAGAGCAGTTCTTGAAAGAGCTCTCTCAGCACCTCCTAGTGGTTTGGTGTAGTGGTTAAGTGCGCAGACTCTAATCTGGGAGAACCAGGTTTGATTCCCCACTCCTCCACTTGCAGCTGCTGGATGACCTTGGGCAAGCCATAGTTCTGGCACAGCTATTCTTGAGAAAGAGCAGTTTCTGTCAGAGTTTTCTGAGCCCCACCTACCTCACAGGGTGTCTGTTGTGGGGAGGGGGAGGGGAAGGAGTTTGTAACCCGCTCTGAGACTCCGAGTAAAGGGTGGGGTATAAATCCAATCTCCTCCTCCTCCTCCTCCTCCTCCTCCTCCTCCTCCTCC